AAAAAAAAAAAAAAAAAGAAACTAGACCACCAACTTACACCATGCACAAAAATAAACTCAAAATGGATAAAAGACTTAAATGTAAGACGTGAAACCATAAAAATCCTAGAAGAAAATGTAGGCAGCAAAATCTCAGACATTTCTCATAGCAATATGTTTGCTGATACATCTCCTAGGGCAAGGGAAACAAAGGAAAAAAACAAATGGAACTGCACAAAATAAAAAGCTTCTGCACAGCAAAAGCAACCATCAACAAAATGAAAAGGGAGCCCGCTGTCTGGGAGAACATACTTGCCAATGATACATCTGATAAGGGGTTAATATATGATATATATAAGGAACTCATATAACTTAACAAAATATATAAGAAACTCATACAACTTAACAAAAGGACAAACAATCCAATTAAAAAATGGGCAAAGGACCTAAATAGACATTTCTCCAAAGAGGACACACAGATGGCCAAGAGACACATGAAAAAAATGCTCAAAATCACTAATCATCAGAGAGATGCAAATTAAAACGACAATGAGCCTGGCCAGTGTGGCTCAGAGGTTGAGCATCCACCCAGGATCCAGGAGATTGCAGTTCGATTCTCAGTCAGGGCACATGCCCGGGTTTCGGGCTCAATCCCCAGTAAGGGGCATGTTGGAAGCAGCTGATCAAGGACTCTCTCATCATTGATGTTTCCATTTCTCTCTCTCCCTCTCCCTTCCTCTCTCTGAAATCAATAAAGACATATTTTTTTTAAAAAGAAAAAAAAAATTAAAACGACAATGAGATATCACCTCACACCTGTCAGAGTGGCTACCATCAACAAATGACAAGCGCTGGCAAGGGCGTGGAAAAAAAGGAACCCTAGGACACTGCTGGTGGGAGTGCAGACTGGTGCAGCCACTATGGGAAGCAGTGTGGAGTTTCCTCAAAAAATTAAAAATCGAACTGCCATTTGACCCAGTGATCCCCCTTCTAGAAATATATCCTAAGAACCCCAACATACCAAGCAGAAAGAACTTATGTGCCATGTTCATAGCAGCGCAATTGACAATAGCTAAGATGTGGAAACAGCCCAAGTGCCCATCAGTAGATGAGTGGATAAAAAAGCTATGGTTCATTTTCACCGTGGAATACTACGCAGCTGTAAAGAAGGATTTCTTACCCTTTGGGACAGCATGGAGGGACCTGGAGAGTATTATGCTAAGTGAAATAAGCCAGACAGAGAAAGACAAGTACCACATGATTTTACTCATATGTGGAATCTAATGAACAAAATAAACTGATGAACAAAATAGATCCAGAGACATAGAAGCATGGAACAGACTGAGGGATCTTAGAGGGAAGGTGGGGATGGGGGAGTGGGTGGGGAGAGATTAATCAAAGAACTCAGATGCATAAATGCATAACCCAGGGACACAGACAATGGTATGGGGAAGGACTGGGGGTGGGGCAGAGGGGATCAACAGGGGAAAAAGAGGGATATCTATAGTACTTTCAACAATAAAGATAAATCTCACACACACACACACAAACAGGCATAAGGCAGCCGTGGTCAGATCTATGCTCTTTCGTTCCTCCTCCTTAGAGCTGCGAAGTACAAAACGCTGGGAGGTCACCTGCTCCCTCTTCCCTGCTTTCCTCAGCACCTCCCTTAGGATCCCATGCTCCAGTCTTCTCCCCACACATAAGGCGCTTCAGGTGAAGAGTAGATTATCCCCATTAAGAACTTGTGAATCTCAAAATTAAGGCCTAATTCCGGAAGGTGCCATGATTACCTGGGAGGCATCATCGCAATTATTGTTTGATCACTTCCCCTTTGTCTCCACCAGCTCAGCCAGGGCAATGGGTGTGTGAAGGGGGAGGGCTACGGCAGCTTGCTGCTTCTAGGTGAGCCAGGCGGGCACTACCAGCCGCCTTGCAGCAGAGCTGCTTTGTTCAGGGTCCAGGACCAGGGACTTGTCCCTTCTTAGTTATGCAAATATAAGGTGTCAGTTGTGGTGGGGGAAGAGGTGTCACGGGTCCTTTTGTTCTTTAAAGTCACCATTTACAGCTCCTAGCTCTTTTTACTGATGAGTGACTAGCAAGTGGTTCCTCTTCATAGGTGGATTAACGTTCATGAAGCTTAAGTACCAGTATGTTTATTGCGTTTAAGGTACTACTTAGCCCACCGGCGTGCCCGTTTGAGTATCGACCTATAATCAGGAGATCATGGCTCGATCCCCACTGCGGGGCGTGCAGGAGGCAGCCAATCAATGACTCTCTCTCTCCAAAATCAATAAAGATATACATATTTTAAAAAGGTATTATTTAATGGTCTGAGCAAATCTAACTTCCGGAGGAGGACAATTTACTCTAACGTCAGGTATCTTTCCATTTGCCACAGCAGTCTCATTGCTTATAATTATTCACTGTGGTGTTTCCTTTAACTTAATGCTACTTAACAAGATTTTGCTGAGCCAGAGCTATAGCTCAACCACAAATCATCAAAATGTACAAGACTGTTTAAAAATTAAAATGTAGCCCAGCCGGGCGTGGCTCAGCCGTTGAGCGTCGACCTGGGATCCAGGCGATTGGGGTTCGATTCCCAGTCAGGGCACATGCCAGGGTTGTGGGCTCGATCAATGACTCTCTCTCATCATTGATGTTTCTATCTCTCTCTCCCTCTCCTTTCCTCTGAAATCAATAAAGATATATTAAAAAAAAAAATGTATTGGGTAGGCTCTTACATTAGCTCAATGAACAGATACCTGGCTTCATTTTGTATATATTCTCTAAATAGATTCATGTTAAAGATACATTCCTACAGTTCTAAATTGGAATGAGGCCATTAGAAAAATTCAGACACTAAGTCCTTTGACAGTACCAAAAATGATTAATGTCAAGGTTAGAGAATGGTTTTCAACAAATGCAATCAACCAATTATAAATACCAAAGGAAATTCTTTATTGTAAACAAGATATAAAGTACAACAAAAGAAATATTGTGCAAATTGTAAATCACAAGGATTTCTTATTTATTACAAGAAAACTTTTCCAAGGGTCTAAGAGTTTGGATGTCAGAAATCTAGACCCGATAGAGAGAAATGTTAAATGGGTAGATATGGGGACCCTTTTCACTGTGTATTTTAAACAATTTACTTTTGTTTCACCACTGTGTATATCACCCACTACACAACAGAATAGAACAGAAATACTGTTAACAAGAGTGAATGTTCTAGTAACTTTTCTACACATCTAGTTCCACATCCCCCCATAAACCTCCTATAAATTAACAGGACAATATCTGTCCTCTTGTGAATAATGGTTATTAACTTTCTAATTCAATAAAGCTCATGTTATAGCCTCATAACATAAGGGTATTTTACTGATGACATAAGCCATCTTTTTCAAGGAGTTATCTAAAATTCTTGATATCCCTTCTTTACAATATATATTTTCATCTCTGAAATTTTTTTCTAAACAAAGTGCAGTGTATCTTAGTTTCTAGAGAAAACACATTGGTATACAATTTTCAAATCTACACAAGAAACTGCAGGCAAACTAAAGTTCAAAGCATAATAAAATGCCTAGATATAGTTATCTGTTAAACTTTCAAAACAAAAATGCAAAAAAAATCGCAGCTACACTTCAAAGGAATTAAATTATTTGAGGATTCCAAATCTTTGGGTCCTCTTTAGCAATATACAGCTAACCAATTCCAAATGTCAGCAACAATGTAAAAATGCTAGGACTATTTAACAACTACATCCACAAAGTTGACTGGAAAGACTAGGAATAGTAAACAAGATAACTCTAGGAAAAGATGACAATATTTGTAATTATAAAAATCGATCTTGTATCTCCATCTCTGTACCGTAATGTTGATTTCCAGTCTCTACACTCTTGAAACCAGTGCTTTAGAAGAATCACATTGAAAAGTTGGTCTCAACTATAAATGGCAAAAGTAACAAATTGTGCACATGAATTCAAAATCTGTGCTGCCTGTGCTGACCTCATCCGAAACCTTCAAAAAATATTTAAAGGAATAAAAGCTTTCTCGTGTCTCTTATGTGATATGAAATGAATCCTGCGACTCTGTGACATGCCTGTGACCATAGCACTTCTTGTCATCTAACCCAGTCTGGGCCTTCTCCCCAAGCTGTGGAGCTTCTGCTTTCAGCCGGCACTGGAGGGCCACAGGCTTGCAGTGGAAGCATTCTTGTATCACCACTGGCTCCCAGCTGTGACCAAAGTTAGTTCTTACTCTTCACCTTCCGAGCCGTCACTGTGCGGGAGCAGCGTTTGGAGGTAGGGCAATGTCGTTCAACTTGCTCACTTCCATCTGCCAGTTTGGTAGCTTCTTGGCTGACAGATGACGTCGGGCATGCTTGGTCAAATGGTCACTTCTCATGAACCGCCGGTCACACATGGGACAGGCGAATTTCTTCTCACCTGTGTGGGTTCGTCGGTGTCTAGACAGTTCATCAGAACGGGCAAACCTCCTTTCACAATCTTTCCAGCTACAGCTAAAAGGTTTTTCTCCTGAAATAAAAAATTCAGATTATCGTTACTACGTGTTTACCAAATCACTGTAAATGACACATTTAATTACATCTAGATATACATTTTAAATATAAAAGCTGTTAAATTAATAAACTGTCAAGTAAGTACTATGTGTGTATGCACTATTTTTAACTTTCACTGTCACCTTTATAAGTCTTTCCTTTATAAAAGCCCAAAACAGTAAAGTTTCTGGACTTTAACTATGATACAAAGGCTTTAAAGGTAATTTATTAAAGTAGTTACTGAAGACATTTAAAGAACCATCATTTGAAAAACTAAAACAAAATACCCTAATGAAATCTTTTCAAGGAGCTTGCACAGGTAGATATCACCCACTGAATTGACTAACATGGCAAGTTCTTCCTTAATATGCCTGGTTTATAGCTGTGATCACTGCCCCCAAAACATCTATATTTCTGACATAAATAAGAAGTCATTGGTACCTGTATGCGTTCTCATGTGGGCCTTCAGATGAGAACTTTTAAAATACGTCTTGCCACATCCTGGATGGCTACAGATGTGACTTCTTATCCTAGATGAGTCGATCTGAGGAGTGACTTTTGCTGCCGAAGGGGAAAACCCTGGAGCAGGGGCAATGGGAGAGAGTCTGGTGCCATTTGGGCTCACTACTGGAGGCTTTGGATTCTGGACAACGGGCTGGGGTACGACAAACATGACAGCACCTTTGGGCACCTGAGGACCCATGAACACAAGAGGTGGGCAGACAGCTGGTGGCTGACTGGGTGGAGTGCTGGGAACAACTGTTGTCACAACAGGGTTGTTTGCAGGGAGGGGAACCATCTGACAGATGACTGGCATAGGTGGCACTCCTCCTGCTGATACTGCTGCAGGTGGAGAAACCAATACTGATTTTTGTTGGGGGGACACAGGAGCTGGCTGAGATCTACAGATGACTGTCTCTGAGGAAGGCACAGAAAAGTCATAAAGTACAGCACTTGCTTTCTCATCAACATCTGCTACTGTGTTTCTCTCACATTTGGCTCTGTTTGGTGACACAGCTGCACAAGGTAAGTTTTTTCTTGTAGCCTCAACATTTAGGTGGGCTCTTCTTCGAAAAGAATTGTCCTGGCAGTTGAGGATGCTGGCTGCTTTCACTGGGCAGGACTGGTGGTTACACAGCTGGGCATCAGCTGTATGACGAATCACACTTGTTGCCTGAGCCTTAGGGAGTTTGGGAACAGGTCCTGGGCTTTTCTCTTCCTCTTTGAAAGATGCAGCAACGTGAGGCTTGGAAGTATCTGAGAATGATTTGAAGTGTCCAGTAGATGGGGCTGGTGCGATCAGATTTGACACTTGAGAGGGTTCAAAGTCGGAAGGACTGTAAGGTGGAGTTAAACACTACAAAGAGAAATATATAGGCAACAGTGTGAGAAATTTAAAGTAGAGTTCATTGTATAAATTATAAGAAATTAAATCATTTATTCACCTTAAAAACAATACTTACAAATGCTGGGATTGTATGAAAATCGGGTGTACCAGGAAGCAAATTCTCTTCCTCTGACATATCAGATACAGGAGTAACAGGTCTGTTCTCAATGTATTTCTTAAAATCAGACTTCCAACTGCAGCTCATTGACATAAGTGCTTCTACAGCTTCAAAATCACTTTTCTCTGCAGTTTTATTCCAGGAATACATACTCTCTTTAGGTCTTTCAGAAATCATTTCCATTCTTTCCTCCTATAGAAACAAAAGAGTGAATGCTTATAAGCATATTTTTGCCATCCAAATAAGACCAGAACTCTGTACATTTAAAAAAATTTTTACTATTGACACAACCTTCCAAATTAAACATGAAATAATTCTTCTCTCTCCCCTACTCTGATAGTAATGGTAATAAAATCTTCCTCTCACATTTAGGCTTGAACCCTGATATCCTTGCCAGGTAGAGAGGAGCATGTGATTATCATTAAGGGGACCAAGGCCAAAGGCATCAATGCATTTGTGATCCAAAAAGAAGCACTTGGCTTAGAAGTTATATATTCTTTCCAGAGTAGCCACTTGCAACTGGGTTCAGACAAAATAACTAAGGAAAGGCTCTGCAAATGTTATCTTCTTTCAAGACTTTCTTAAAAATGAAGTGCAGTAGACAGAGCTCTGGCCTGTTCATATGGACCTTTGAAAAATGACTTCATACTTTGGGATAAAATCAACAGGATAAGGAATCTTCAGTCTCTTTAAAATTAGTATATTAGGTTATTTGAAGTCTAATTTTTTTGATAACTTAGTTATCTATGGTAAAGTAAGATAAAGTGAAATATATAGAAAAATTCCAATATTTTAATTTTCAACTTTTTCATGTTTCTGTTTCATTTAACACAATGGTTTGCTACTCACAACTATAGTCAGCTAATGCAATACTAAAAAGTGGATAATCAGAAAATTTAATTTTCTACTCAGAATTTACAAAAACCCTGGCTGCAAGGAGTCTGCAATAGTCAAAACAAAATATTTTAATGTTTTAAAGAACTTCTAGATGACAAGGGGACCGGACATGCTTTGTATTCATATATACAGCTCCTTCTATCAAGTGTTTAATGCTTTTTATTAAACTGCACTTTAAAAACAATGGTACTACCTACCGCCTCTCCCATTTTCCATTAACGTGATCCCATTCTTTCTCCCAAAATAGAGGTTGCGTAAAAACACCGAAAAAAAATTCTTTACGTTGCAAGGTATTATTCTCAACGCTCATTTCTAAAAATGCGTAAACCCTTCGTGTTGAAATGCTTAGAAAACGAGCCATTGCTCTTAAAAAATATCGCTAACAATGCAACTGCATGACCGAGCGCGCCTTTATGGGGAAGCTGCAACGGGCAGCGCACGTATGTGTAGAAGCCCCAAGACGCCCAAAGAAAGAAAGGAGAGAGAGAAAAGGCAGGCGGGCAACAGGAAGAGTGCGAGCGGGGAAGCGGAGCGGGGAGGGCAGGAAAGGGAGCGGGCGGGAGGAAGGGGAAGCGCGGGCGGAGGCGGGCGGCGGAGGCAGACGAGGG